TGTCTTATGAACAAGGGCTAAACAAGTTGAGACTCTATTCATTGTTGGTTAGAAGAATGAGAGGTGATCTCATTGAAACACATAGGATTCTTAAGGGGCTTGACAATGTAAATACTGAAAGGATGTTTGCCCTCGTGGGAGAATCTAGGACAAGACGGCAGAATCTCAGAATAAAGGAGTACCAATTTAAAACTGAAATAAGGAAGATTCTTTTTTTTCCCTCAGAGGGTTGAGAGTCTTTGAAACTCCTTGTTACACAGAGCTGTGGGGTCAGAGTCCTTGTGTACATTTGAGGTTGGGTCAGATAGATTCTTGATCAGTAGGGAACCAAGAGCTTTGGGGAAACACGGATATGAGGAATGTTGGATCAGCCGTGGTGAATGGTGCAGCAGACACAAGGGGTTGAATGAGCTACACCTGTTCCTAATTCTTATGGCCTAACCAATGTTTTCAGAGATGCACAGGTGTGAAACAAATGGGACTTGATTCCAGGCCTCCTAACTCACATGTAGGGACAATACCACTACACAAGAATCCCACCACTTTCTTGATTTCTTGATTGATTTGGGACCGAACTCAACACACCTGCTTTTGATTATTCCATTTAATATTTATGGATAACAAAAAGCAATCAATTTTAGATTGAAAATTTACCATTCATCCAGATGAGTGTTATTGGATCAGCTATGATTTAATGAATGGCAGAGGAGGCTTCAGGGGCCAAATGGCCTATATCTGTTCTGTTTTGTATGGTCTATGGTTTTATTATATGCGAATGCCTTATTTTTCGATACAGGATTGTTTCTTTAAAGGGGAAGGACTACTTTTGTTTGTTGTTGAATATGCCCAAGCAATTCACTTTCACCTCATCATTTAAACAGGCATCTACAGAGAGATATTGACGTTTTTTCTGAATTCTGTTACTGATGTGCCAATCTTCATCCTCACTCCTCTGCTTCTCTCCACAGATGCAGCCAGTATCTTTCCTTAAATAAGGAGATCCAGATGTGGTCTCACCAAGGCCCCAGGCACACCTTCCAGGTGAAGCAGCAATTTACCTGTACTTAACTCAATCTAGTCTACACTATTCACTGCTCACAACATGGTCTCCACTATATGGAGGTGAGAAAGCACAGACTGAGCGACCGCTTTGTGGAGCATTTACATTCTGTCTACAAAAACAATCCCCGAGCTTCTGGTTGCCTGCCACTTCAACACACCACCGGTGTTCCTTGGCCAACATTTCCGTCTCGGTCTTGCTGCAGTGGTCTAGCAAGGGTCAATGCAAGCTGGAAGAACAGCATCTCATTTTCTATTCGGGGACTCTGCAGCCTTCAGGACTCAATACTGATTTCAATAATTTTAGGGCCTATACGTCTCCTTTCATGTCCTTTACTCACTCCTGCACCCTGAGCCCTGTTAGAGGTTACTTTCATCTCAGTCAACCATCTACACGTTTGCTGACGACAGCACTATTCTAAGCCAGATATCAGACAATGAAGAGACAGAATACAGTAAAGAGAATACTTGGTGGCGTGGTGTAAACATAACAATCTCACCCTCATTTTCAGCAAAAGCAAAGAGCTGATCATCGACTTCAGGAAGCAAGGAGGAGGGCATGCCCCTATCTACATCAATGGAGCAGAGGTGGAGATGGTGTAGACATCAAGTTCCTAGGACTGACGATCACCAACAATTTGTCCTGGACCATCCATGTTGATGCGACAATTAAGAAGGCACAACAATGCCTCTTCTTCCTCAGGAGGCTAAGGAGATTCAGTACGTCCATAAGGACTCTCATCAGCTTTGAAAGATGCACCATAGAAAGCATTCTAACAGGAAGCATCATGGCTTGGTATGGCAACTGCTCTGCCCAGGACTGTAAGAAATGACAGAAAGTTGTGAACACAGGCCAGTCCAACACACAAGCCAACTTTCCAGCCATTGACTCTCCCTACACTTCTCAATGCCTCAGAAAGGCTGCCAGCATCATCAAAGACCCCTCCACCCTGGTTATAATCTCTTCCAACCTCGTCTGTCTGGCAGAGATACAAAAGCTTAAACACACATACCAACAGGTTCAAAAACAGCTTATTCCCTTCTGTTATTAGACTTCCGAACAGACCTCTCAAATGTTAAATCTAATGTTGATCTTGTTTTTTGTGCACCTTGTTTGCAGCTGTAACTTTGTATTCCTCACACTCTGTTCAATCATCCAATGATCTTTGTATGTTATGATCTGCCTTTACAGCACGCAAAACAAAACTTTTCTTAGGTACATGTGATAATAATAAATCAAATCAAATCAATCAGTTCTCAAGTAAGAGATAGTAGGAACTGCAGATGCTGGAGAATCCGAGACACAGCAGGCCAAGCAGCATCATAGGAGCAGAAAGGCTGACGTTTCGGCCTAGACCCTTCATCAGAAATGGGGGACGGGAAGGGGGTTCTGAAATAAATAGGGAGAGAGGGGGAGGCGGATAGACGATGGATACAGGAGAAGATAGGTGGAGAGGAAACAGACAGGTCGAAGAGGCGGGGATGGAGCCAGTAAAGGTGAGTGTAGGTGGGGAGTTAGGGAGGAGATAGGTCAATCCAGGGAGGACGAACAGGTGAAGGGGGCGGGATGAGGTTAGTAGGTAGGAGATGGGGGTGCGGCTTGAGGTGGGAGGAAGAACAGGTTTGGGAGGCGGGGACGAGCTGGGCTGGTTTTGGGATGCGGTAGGGGGAGGGGAGATTTTGAAGCTTGTGAAATCCACATTGATACCATTAGGCTGCAGGGTTCCCAAGCAGAATATGAGTTGCTGTTCCTGCAACGTTCAGGTGGCATCGTTGTGGCACTGCAGGAGGCCCAGGATGGACATGTCGTCTGAGGAATGGGAGGGGGAGTTGAAATGGTTTGCGACTGGGAGGTGCAGTTGTTTATTGCAAACCGAGCATAGGTGTTCTGCAAAGCGGTCCCCGAGCCTCCGCTTGGTTTCCCCGATGTAGAGGAGGCCACAACGGGTACAGCGGATGCAGTATACCACATTGGCAGATGTGCAGGTGAACATCAGCTTGATGTGGAAGTAAAGTCACTGAACCCGAAATGTTGACTTTGCTTTCTCTGCACAGGTGCTGCCAGTTTATTCAGCAAATTACTATTTTTGTTTCTGCCTGACTTAAAGATTATCTGCAGTACCCACTGCAATTACACTATCATAACAACATTGTATTTGCATATCGCAGAGATAGTAGGAATTGCCGATGCTGGAGTCTGAGATAACAAGGTGTAGAGCTGGACGAACACTGCAGGCCAGGCAGCATCAGAGGAGCAGGAAAGCTGACGTTTCGGGTCTGGAATAACAAGATGTAGAGCTGGATGAACACAGCAGGCCAAGCAGCATCAGAGGTGCGGGAAAGCTGACATTTCGGGCTTAGACCTTTCTTCAGAAATGGGGGAGGGGAAGGGGGCTCTGAAATAAATAGAGAGGGGGAGGCGATGATAGAAGGTGGATAGAGGAGCAGATAGGTGAAGAGAAGATGGACAGGTCAAGGAGGCAGGGATGAAGCCAGTAAAGGTGAGTGTAGGTAGGGAGTTGGGATGGGGTTTAGTCAGTGAGGAGGGTGGGGGCGGGTACATGGGAGGGAAGACAGACAGGTCAAGGAGGCGGGGATGAGGCTAGTAGGTAGGGAGTTGGGATGGGGGTTAGTCAGTGAGGTGGGAGGAGCGGATAGGTGGGAGAAAAGACAGACAGGTCAAGGAGGTGGGGACGAGATGGGCTGGTCTTGGGGTGAGGTCGGGGGTTGGGAGATTTGAAGCTTTGAAGACCACATTGAGACCATTGGGTTCCCAAGCGGAATATGTAGTGCTAGATATCGCAGATTTGCATATCGGAGGTGTTTCTGCCTCCAGTCTGGGCACTCTTGGGCTTGAGGTTCCCACCAATCTGTGGCGATTTTTCGGGGTGGCTTTGAGGACATCCTTGAACCATTTCCTCTGCAAGCCATTAGGAGGAGGGCAGAAGAAATGTTTTGAAAGCATCTTCAAAGCCTCCCTGAATGAAAGCAATATCCCTATCCACTGACTAGCGGGAATTGCAAGCCCAAGATAGCCCAAACTGGAGGAGAAGCATCCCCGCGAAAATGCCAACCGTTTCGATCGTCTGCGGCAGGCGTTGATGAAGGCCAAGCGGAATGTAGCGTGCGAAAGCCCGAGCATCCCACCCACTGGCTCCAGTAAACACCGCCTTGCCCCACCTGTGGCAGGACTGAGTGGTTCCAGCATTGAACTTTCACAACAGCCGAGTGAAGGAAAGTCATCTTCACTGCCCAGGGACTGCCTAATAAAAATGGACACCAGTAGACAGGTACGCACCGGGATCTTCTTGGCCCCGACTGTTTCTGAGGGAGGACAAGATTCCGAGCTATAATCGGGATAACTCCAAAGATCACCGATCCGAATCCGCGAGCCCAACCGTCTCCAGGCCCTGGCAGCACAAAATACAAACCTAACACTGCGATACATATCCAAAGGACCTGTACTCCAATCTTAATCTCATTGTTTCAAATCATAATATTAAATTCATATATTATGGAAGTCTTTAGAGGCTGTGTTTGTTATCTCGAACTGAATAGTGAATTTTACTAAGTATCTTTGAGGACCTGGCAGAGAGTGCGCATGCACAGCCGGGTGAGATCCAGCTCTTACGAAGGCCTAGTGTTTTCTGTCTCTCCATACTCTATTATAAAGGGATTGAGGTTGCAATCTTCTCTTCCTTTCTCCCCTGTACCTCACGCCGGTCGCAGCGATGGGGAAGCTGAACGTAGTGTTGCTGAGGTACCTACAGAAAGATGATTTCAGAGTGCTGGTTGGGGTAAGTTGCCGGTCCGGGCCTGTCGGAACTCAGTTTGTGCTCGATTAAAGTTCACATGTAATTACAGAAGGGGCTGCGTGATTTACCGCGAGGAGGTATCTCATTGTCAAATCCTTCTGTTTTGTAAACTGACTGCGATATCCTCCCTCATCAGCATAATTTCGCCTTTCAAAAAAAAAAATTGGAGTTTAATAAAATTGCTGAATGATAAATCACTTGCCCTATCTGTCAATTCAATGTTCGCTACGTTTCTCGGAGCGGAGGAAGCGAACACGTTCTTGATACATTTTATGCTACAGGCAGTCATTTAAAATATAACACTGGCTTTTTCTGGCAAATATTTTCATCATATTAATCATTTTCTAGTACTTAATGTCTCAGTAAATATCGAACTCTCAGAAAACGTTGGAAATATTCCAAATATATGGAGAAAGAAAAAGTGACATTAACAACTTTTGTCAGAACTGGAAACAGTTAAGAGCTGAAACATTTTAAGCAAGTTGTCGAAGCAGAGGAAGGGAAGAAAAGGGAAGAGCGGAAAGCAGTTGATACTTGACTAGGGTAATGATTAGTTCACCGAACAAAAGCAGCTTATCAGTAGATTTAATTGCATTAAGGTTGGATCTGACAGAAGAGGTACAAATTAAAGGGTATGAAAATGGTTGTGAGGAGTGTCAGATATGCCATGATCCTGTTGAATGGAGAAGGCTCGAGGGGCCCCAGCAGCCTACTCTTGTTCCTGTTTCTTTTGGCCTAAATTTAGAAAAGATTACAATCCTTGACATCTGTAGGAAAGGTTTTTTTCATGAAAGCATTACTTGAGGTGAAGAATGAAATGCAACTGTGGATCAGGATAGCTTTCTGATGGTTGGTGAAGAGAGAGGTTGAGGGTAAGTGTGACAATGCATGACATAGAATGCAATGAGAGCAGTGCTTTGAAGAACAAAAATACGTTGGAGATATCTAATCATTGTTGGATCTGAAACATGGCAGAAGAAATTTCAATTGAAATTCATGGGGAGTATGTCAGAAGTAGAAAGAGTTGCTGACAGAAGCAATAACAGTATAGAAGGTAAAAAAGACAAATACAAATCTCATCAAATTCCTGGAAGAGAACTGGGACTGAAGTAAACATAATTACAAAAGCCAAATACAGCAGATGCTGGAAATCTAAAATTTTAAAATACTCAACAGGTCCCAATTGAGCCAGATTCCTGCCTTGCCAAGTGATCACTTTTTTTTGTAAATTTTATAAGATTATTGAATTGATGGTAGCTTTTTTTGCCCACTCATGAGTAATTTTTCAGTATGACTTCAATGAAGTATAATGGGGCATGAACTTTCAAACTCTGTCTGCTTAAGCTGTGGAAAAGCAGGTAGTCTTTAGTATAAGGTTTCTCCTTTCAAATCTGTACTGAAGATTTAAGGGGAGAATAAAGAGGCATAATGATAATGTCACTAGATTAGTAATCCAGAGGCCATTGCTAATAATATGGAACATGGGTTCAAATTCTACCATGGCAGTTGGCGGTATTTAAAGTCAGTTAATAAATCTGGAATTAGGGCCTTGTGGTGCAGTAGTACTGTCCTTACCTCTGGGCTAGAATGTTCAGGTTCAAGTGCTCCCTGCTCCAGGCATGTATCTTAACAGGTTGATTAAAAACTATCTATAATAGCTAAATGTCTATCGATTTAAACTGAAAAATGAATATATCGCAAATTTATACCTATTCCCAGTGATGGTGACAGTGAGTATATTGCTGAGAGTTGTAAAGAGACAACTGGTTCACTGACATCCTTTAGAAAAGGAAGTTTGTTGTCCTTGCCAGATCTAGCCTCTGTGTGACTCCAGACCCACAGCAATGTGATTGACTCATAGCTGCCCCATTAAGTGTGTGTAGCAAGCTACTCGGGGTCAAGGGCAACTAGGGATGGGCCACAAATGTTGCTGCCTGCTAAGCTCGTATACCATGAAAAGAATAAATAAAAATAGGTTGGTAAGAAGTCATTTTTTAATTCATGGGATGCGTTTACTGCCCATTCCTATTAAGCCTTGAAGTTGGTGGTGAGCTGCCTGCTTGAACTGCTGCAATCCATGTGCTATAGACAGAACCCCAATACCATTAGACAGGGAGTTTTGATTTTGGCCTCGGGAACAAATAACAAAAGAAATCCCCTATCAACCTTTAAAAGTGGCCAGGATACATTCTTAATAACATTTCAAGTTACAAAATATAGCTTGTAGGTTCCTGTGAATAGTAATAATTGGGGATCTCAGCAACTCCTCTGGTTAGGATAGAGAGAAATTTCCTAGATATTTTCCTGTGATGTTTACTTTGTTGCCTATCTTCTTTTGGGGGAGTGGTAGTAGTAAGCTAGTCACATAATTACCTTGATTTTTAAATTTTTTTTCAGTGTTTTTTCAGTTGGGCAGCACGGTAGCTCAGCAGTTAGCACTGCTCCCTCACAGTTCCAAGGACCCGGGTTCAATTCCACCCTCAGGAAACTGTCTGTGTGGAGTTTGCACATTCTCCCTGTGTCTGTGTGGGTTTCCTCCCACAGTCCAAAGATGTGCAGGCTAGGTGGATTGGCCATGCTAAATTGCCCGTAGTGTTCAGGGATGTATAGATTAGGCGTGTTATTGGGGGATGGGTCTGGGTGGGATGCCCTGAGGGTTGGTGTGGACTTGTTGGGCCAAAGGGAGTATTTCCACACTGTAGGGATTATATAATGATTCTATGATGAAATCCTGTCTCATTTTTATCTATTCCAAATCTCCTAAATTGATAGTTTCATCTTTGTTTTGCTCTATTACTGTACAGGTCGAAATGGGAATGAAGAATCATGAAATTGTTCCACCTAGTCTTATTGCTTCAATATCAAACCTTAAACATGGTGGATGCAATAAGATCCTGCGTGAATTGGTAAAACACAAACTGTTGGCTTATGAGAGAACAAAAAGTAAGTTCTTAGTAAAATTAACAGATTGAATCAGTTGTCTTACAATATTTTGTCTTAGTGAAATTTTGGAACTTCAGTTTCTCATTTTTCAGTAACAGTAATCCTTTTATATTTGCTGGTCTTGTTAATTTTTGTTTGTGGTGCTTTAGTTTATGCCTTATTGTTGCCTAAAACGTACCAATTTCACTGAACTGTACACAAGCTAAGTATTTCAGTGTGTGGCGTGAAGTATGCTTGTATTACCTCAACCTTTTATGATACTGAGACAAATGCCCCTTCCAACATTGCAAAATTGAAATTTCTTGCCAAATCCTGTTTAGTAGCTTGTGTTGTAGTAAGGCACTAAAATAAAGGACCAGAATATGTTATTCTACATATTACGTTTATTTTAATAATGTTTCTAAAGCCGAAGAATTGATTTTCAGATTCTTCTAAAGCTTTAGAATTTGATTGTTGAACTGTGACTGCACAATTCATAGTTATGTTCAGGTTTAGTGAACATCGGGGCTTTTTTTGCACCCAGGTAAAACCAGGCATACAGATCAAGTCAAAAGTACCAGCGATACAATTATTTTGACTCTTAATACGTTGCTCTGAAATTTCCAAGCATCCCTTGAAGGGTAGAAGTTGGGTCACCTATCTGCAAAGTACAGTGGGCCTCTTGATGTGAGATTGTCGGGCCATTCTTGCCCTCCAGTTCCATTTCCTAGAATTATGCCAATGTGTATATTGATACCAAATGGCATGTTGAATGAATGAATGTTAGGTGCTTGAACCTTGTTTCAAGCTCAGTAAAGGCTTGAAGATTGCAGCTTTTCTGGTATATGAAAGATGCATAAAAGACTTTGGCCTCTGGTATCGAATGGTGCTGCTCTGCAACAGACAGGCCAAAGGCCAGGAGCAAGCCTGCTGCTCCATGCTTCTCATTACCAACAAAATGCGCTGTCATTGCTAAACCTACACCGGTGTTGAGATCATATTGTGTTAATAACTAGGCCTGGTCTATCAATGTGGGTTCTGTGCCTGGAAAGTCAGCTTTGGCACAAGATCATATCATTGGCTGGGAATGTGGAGACAAGTAACGCATAATCTCAGGAGTGTAGTAGTCTACACACCATTTGCTTTGAGTCCAGATCTAACAACAGTTGAAGCTCAATGCTCCAGGACAAAACAGTCTGTTTGATATTCCTTTCACCATCTTTAAATATTTACTGTGTTCATTGCAGCAATTAACTGAGGCTTCTTCATTAACTTCTAACAAACATTCAACATTTACCACATTGGAGGTCCAGGGCGGTAGATGCATTGGGACACCACCACCTCCAACTTGAGGATCACCTTGACTATAGAAGTGGGAACATTCTCTAGAGGCATGTAGTTTGAATAGAGAAAGATTGTGGGAAGTCATGCATTGTATCCAATCTCAGTAGAAATCATTAAAAGGTTATAAATTTAAACTTCTAGTTGGTTAACTGAAAGGATGACACAAGAAGAATTCATGTTTTTAGACCTGTAGCCTGTAACAGACGAAAATGCTTTGACTAAACATCGCTTTTCTGTGTAGTTTACACCTTAAATTCCAAAAAAGGATTTTCCTATTTTAGTTTCAACACAACTGACAATCTTTTCCATTGGTAAACTGTCCCTTAAGTAGCCATTCAGGTTTTCTCCCAGAACCAGTCTAAGATGATTCTGGACTCCAAAGGGTTTAGTTCTGTTCTTTTCCTAGCCTCATAACTTGTAATCCCAGAACTAACTTTCACAATGAGTGTTTTCTTCAGGGCAAGCTGGGCAAATCTTCTAGCCATGTTTCAAATTCTTACAAATTTGGTGTTTTCAATCCAAATGTGAGTTTCCACCAACACACTTGCCTGGTGAACCATACAGATGGTTGGCCTCTGGTTGCTCCCTCACTTCTGGATCTGAGTGTGAGAGCTCTGGGATACCTTCGAAATCTTTAACCCTCTGGAAATATTCTAACCAGCCTTTTCAGGAATCATATAATGCAATCTGAAGCAAGTGGGACTTGTTCCAATGCCTCCTAGATCAGTGGAATGGACTCTACCATGCACCACAAGAGCCCTATCTTGTTTTTTAAGCCATCCTGTATGGGGATGTTATGACACACGTCTGGAGCAGGTGGAATTTTGATCTGGGGACCTGATTTTGAGGTAGGGCACTACCACTGTGCCACAAGAGCCCTATCTCTCCCCTCTAAAAGCCCAGGGCAGTATGAATTGCATGTACCTTGTATGCAGGTAGAATTGCTAATTTGCTTTTCTTTAGACCCCAGTACTTTTACCTTGGAAGTAAGTTAAATAGTTTACAGCATAAGTGTTCACAAATTGAAATTGACATCTTCTTGGGAATTTGGAGATGTGAGCCCTAACCACTGTAAACACACAGATCTTCCATTCCCATTCTTGCATTTTTTAATATTCTTTCGCTGGCTAGGCCAGCACTTTATTGTGTATCCCTAAGTGCCTTTGAGAATGTGGTGATGAACTACTGTATTGAACTGCTGCATTCGATGTCAGTATATACACACAGTGCTGTTAATAAGGGATTTCCAGGATTTTCACTCTATACTTGAGAATAGACAGCCCCCTCAACCAGGCCTTAAAACAGGTTGTGACTCCTTTCATTTTACCATAATTAAAAACAGCTCCAACACGGAACAATCTTTTAAACCTCAAAATTGTAGAAATCGTGCACGATGTTCATCATGTTACAACTGTAGAAGCTGCTTAAATTAGCTTCACATTATAAACATCATCATTCAATAGTGTTGAGATAAGGTCAGTGCAGAAAATTCTGGAATCCCTCAGCCAGTCAGGCAGTATTTGTACAGAAGAAATTGGTGTTTAATATTTTGACAGGTGAATAATTTTGGAGGTGAACAGCTGTGGAGCAGGCAGAGAGTAGAGAAAAACGAAGGGTTGGGATGGAAACAGTCAAAAGAGATCTGTGTAGGGTGGGCGACTGCAATAATTAAATGTGTGTTTGTGCAAAAAGAAGATTTGATATTGAGCGAAATGTACAAACAAAATTAAAGTTCAATGGAGGGTTAGAAGATTACCACAAAATATTGAAGGAGGAAAGCTTCAGTGGCCCATAATGTGAAGGCAGGAACATTAGGTGAGCCTTGGAACAGCCAAATGATTGCTTATCCATAGGTTTTACCCAGCACAAATGCTGGTATGTAATGCATCCACGACCATTCCCTTGCTGTCCAAGAGAAAATGAGAATGGTGGATTAGATGTTAGATTTAATTTTGAAGGCAGAGGGCAGTAAAATGTCTCATAGGTGTTGTTCTTTAAATTTAATTGCAACATTGTGGAATGGAGAATTCGAAGTGGAAGTGACCAGAAACTCCACCAAACAAGGGTATTCAGCAAAATAAAAGCAGAAGTTGCTGGAGAAACTCATCAGATCTGGCAGCATTTGTGGAGAAGAAGCAGAGTTAAATGTTTCAGCAGTTCTCTATTCATCTTCGTTTTGTGTCATTGCCTTATTTCTTTTTCAGCAGTTCAGGGTTATCGATTGACAAATGCTGGATATGATTATCTCGCTCTGAAAACTCTTTCTTCACGAAATGTCTTTAATTCAGTTGGAAATCAAATGGGTGTTGGCAAAGAATCTGGTAAGAAATAAAAACTATTGAGCTTGCACAATATTTGAAATTAAGGAATCATTTTGTGAATGGTAAGTTGCAATACTAAAGTAAACCTAAGTAGCTAAAGAAAAAGGCCCACCAACATCTCCTTGGGCAACTGAGGCAGGGAAGACAATAATAAAGTGCCCAAATGCATATACTAAGCACATTGGAAACTAAAACTGTATTTTGTATAAGAGTAAAATATTAAATATGTCTACATTTGGAGACTCATGAGTCTGGTTAGTACTGATTTGGTCTTTAAACAGATCAACGAGTCTATGGCTGCTTATACTGACTTTTCAGTGAACCTCTCAGGGTCTGTCCTTAGTATCTTAGTCTGTTCACAGCATCTGAGGAGACCTGTGTTTCTTCAGTTTCTGTTTTTGTTTGTCCGTTCTGCAGCATCTGCAGTTCTTTGTTTTATTTTTCTGTTAGAAAAGGTATCTGGGAATATGTTTAGAGGTATATTCACCTTACATATTGAGATGGCACTTGTGATCTGTTGCCATCCAAATACTTCCAAGTTTGTTGCAGCCTTGTATTACACTCTGATATTTGTTTTCGACATTCACTGATTATGTTCTTAAACGGAAACAACTTGGGAAATTTTAACATTGCATTTACAGGAAAAATAAGCTTTGGTGTAAATCACATAATGCTTTGTGATATTTTGTCACTACTTACTAATTTGTCATTCTAGATGTTTTTATAATGCATTCTTGGCTGTATACTTTGTGATGCTTAAGAAGGAAAAAGGATATAATGGTATTCTCGATGATTATGATGAAAAATGCATAGTATTGATTATACTTTGGGATTTGGATGCAAAATAAAGGCAAATTGATGTGGTTCAGTTCTGAGAAGGGAACTTTCTTTCAACAGGTCAAAAAATAATTTGAAACAGTGTGTGGCGCAGTCAAGTGCCTTGTAGAACATCTGTGTTTAATGGGTGGAATGTTTATACAGTTGAGTGTACAACAGACCATAAAGTCAGTACTTTTGTTTTGAATTTAGAACAGATGGTTCAAGTTCTCCAGAAGTTCAAGTCAGAAGGGAGAAAAATTCTTCTAGCAGGCAATTCAAATCTTAATTCACGAGAGCCAGTCACCATAGCTGAAGCATTTTAGTGTTGTGGCAGTTCCAAGCCAGGAAAGTTTGAATAAAAATATTCATGTTGTTAGAACTGAAAACATAAAGGCCATGCTAGTAGACTCAGAAACAAATCAAAAAGTTGTCTCTACAGGCCAAGAAAAAGAAACTGGGAGGAATCAGCCCAGTAAAATCTTACAGATACAGTACGAGTGAAATTTCTCTGGATTTGATTATCTGTGAAAGGATAATGTTGGAGAACAGGGTGAAACCACTTTTTTGTTTCTCTCCTTTTAAGTAATAAATCTATGTTGTTTTGTTAAAGAACATCTGCGTTATGTGAGTATGTTTGTGATTGACATCTACTCTCAATAACAGGAAAAATTAAGCACATGATTTATCAAGCCAGGGTTCCTTTGGGATCTGACTTGACTGAGCTACCACCAGCTGGGATTATACTTTGTGTTTTCTATTACCATTTTCAAACTAAGAACTCTTCAGCTCATGGTGCGTATTTACTATAGAGGAGAGCTGGTCCATTTTTGATCCAACTACTGTAAATGAGGTCCTAAAAATTGCAATCTGACCAGATGCAATGATATCTTAATTAGAAATAGACACTGCAGATGTTGGAGAAACTAAGAAACAAAGTGCTGTAGAGAGAGAAACTGAGTGTATGTTTTAAATCCAATGATTCTTTGGACCAACAATATCTTAATTTGCATTGATCTGTTACAGATATTTATATTGTTGCAAATGAAGAGGAAGAACAGTTTGCTTTAAAACTGCACAGGTTGGGTCGTACATCATTTCGGAATCTGAAGAACAAACGTGACTACCACAAACACAGACAAAAAATGTCATGGCTTTATCTCTCTCGTCTCGCAGCAATGAAAGAATATGCGTATATGAAGGTACTTAATCCTTCTGAAATGCATGTGATTAATTTCCCAAGATTTATCCTATGAATAAAGTAGAAAATTTTTAATATACTTTAAAATTATGTGGCCCAAAACTGAAAGGGAAGCAAGAGGCTGTTCGCTTGTCACAGTAATAAGATGGAGTGCTACCATCATATAATGTTTCAAGTAATTTCTGCAAAGGTTCTTTCCCTGTCACATCTGCCATCTGCAATCTTCTACTTGAACAGAAATTTGTAAAGATGAGAGAAAATAAAGCAAGCATGAAGTGAGAGGAGAAAAAGAAGGGAAGGTAGTTGAGAAAGACTAATAAGGGAATGACTCCACCTATGATGCACCTTCAGAATTTTTTTCCCTGTTCTAAAATAGAAGCTACTGATCAGTTTAAAGTAAGATTTTCAGACTTGTTCCAATTATTCTTCATTAACTAGCACAACTCCTGTTTGAAGACAGAACTGGTCCACATTTCCCTTGTCTAAGATTCATTAAATCATTAATTATATGTGAAATTCTGCTGCAGAGTTCCATTTCAAAACAGAAACTACTATTTGCTCCAACTCTGGGAAAATGTAACACTTGCTATGTGAAGCTGTAGTTCAGTTAGATTTTTGATGAACCCCATGATAGACCTTTACAATGTCCAAATCCCAGTCACTTAACTGACAAGATGAATGGGATATTGCATTGAGAAGCAGCATGCAGTTCCATTAAAAAGCCACTGGATGTCAGCACAAGAATTTTTAAACCTTTCTCTCGGACATCAGTGTGAAGACCAAAGTACTACTAGTAATAGTGGTAGTCGTAGAGTCATACAGCAGGGTAACAGACCCTTTAGTCCAACCGGTCCATGCCAAACATAATCTCAAACTAAACTAGTCCCATCTGCCTGCTCCTGGCCGATATCGATCCAAACCTTTCCTATTCAGGCAATAGTGTGGAGCTAGAGTAACACAGCAGGCCAGGCAGCATCAGAGGAGCAGGAAAGCTGCCGTTTCCGGTCGGGACCCATCTTCAGAAGTGGGGGAGGGGAAGGGGGCTCTGAAATAAATAGAAAAGTGGGGCGGTGATAGCAGGTGGATAGTGGAGCAGATAGGATGGGAGAGAAGATGGACAGGTCAAGGAGGCGGGGATGAAGCTAGTAAAGGTGACTGTAGGTATGTAGGGATGGGGATTGGTCAGTGAGGTGGGAGGAGCGGATAGGTGGGCAGGCCCCAATCCCCACCCCCACCCCTACATACCTACAGTCACCTGTACTAGCTTCATCTCTGCCTCCTTGACCTGTCCGTCTTCTCTCCCATCCTATCCGCTCCACTATCTACCTGCTATCACCGCCCCCCTCTCTATATATTTCAGAGCCCCCTGCCCCTCCCCCATTTCTGAAGAAGGGTCCCGACCCAAAATGTCAGCTTTCCTGCTCCTCTGATGCTGGCTGGCCTCCTGTGTTCCTCCAGCTCCACACTGTTATCTCAGACTCCAGCATCGGCAGTTCTCATTATCTTGTACTTATCCAAATGTCTTTTAAAAATTGTGATTGTTCCCGCATCTAAAAAAAAAACAATTTGCCTCTCGTGTCTTTTCCTTTTAAATCCCTCCCCTGTCACATTAAATGTGGCCCCTAGTCTTGAAATCCCCCATCCTAGGGAAAAGACAACTCCTATCAACTCTATCTATATCCCTCATTATTTTATAAACTTCTATAAGTTCGCTGCTTAACCTCCTGTGCTCCAGTGAAAAAAAGTCCCAGCATATCCGGCCTTTCTTTATAACTCAACCTTCCATACCCGGCAACATCCTGGTAAATCTCTTCTGAACCCTCTAACTTAATAATATCCTTCCGATAACTGGGCAATCAGAACTGGACACGGTATTCCAGAAGAGGCCTCACCAATGTCCTGTACAACCTCAACATGACTTCCTAAGTCCTATACTCAATGCACTGAGCAATAAAGGAAAGCATGCCAAACACCTTTTTAACTACCCTATATAAATGTGATGCAAACTTCAAAGAATTATGCACCTGCACTCCTAGATACCTCTTCTACAACATTACCTAAGGCCCCATTATTAATTGTATAAGCCGTACCAAAATGCAGTACCTCGCATTTATCCAGATTCAACTCCATCTGCCATTTTTCAGCCCATTGATCCATTTGATCAAGATCCCTTTTGTTGCACAGTTAAACAAAATGTACATAATATCTGGCTGATAAGTTACAATCTTAAAGCAGATTAAATATTCTGACAGTTAATTTAATCAAGAGCAGTATGTTCACTTGTGGTGTTTTATTTGTGTCAAGGCATTATCTGACCGAGGATTCCCTGTTCCCAAACCAGTTGATTTCAACAGACATGCTGTAGTCATGGAGCTCATAAATGGCTACCCCATGTAAGTATCAGCATTCTTTCAGAGCATGATTAAAATTTTGTAAAAGAGTTTCTTTAAGACACTTTGTGGCAGATAAAATGGACACTTGAAGCTCTGAACTGGGTATCTATGAAGCATTGCAAGCCGTTACCAACTGCAGCATTTCACTTAACAACATCTATAAACAACACACCTGGCATATTGACTTACTATGCCATTACCATCAGTCAGGTGGTCAAACCTGGTTCAGAGAGTGCAAAAGAATGTGCCCTGAGGTGCAGCAAGCATTCCTCAAAATGAGGTGCCAACCTGGTGAAACTCCAGTACAAGATTACATGTACACTAACGAGCCAAAGCAGCATGGTGTGGGTAGGACTAAGCGATCCCTCAATGCTCTGTACATATCCAGCCAAGAACTGTGTTAGAGAGTTAAACAGAGGAAGAGGCTACTCCAATTTCCACATCCTCACTGCCTAAAACCAATGTCCCTTATATGTTTCATCCATTCGTATATGGAATAAATTCTGAAAAGTGCACTACTTTAAATGTAATGTGTGGATTTGTACCACCAGTAGAAATAAAATGTCTATAGAGTATTTATACTTTTCTATTCACTCATGGAGTATGAGCGCTGGCTGGACCAGCGTTTATTGCTAATCCCTAGTTTCCCTTGAGAAAGTGATAGTGAGCTGTCATCTTAAACCACTACAGTCCGTGTGCTGTAGGTGGATCCACAATGCTGTTGGGGAGAGATTTCCAGGATCTTGACTCAACACTGAAGGAATGGCAATAGACTTCCAAGTCAAAACGTTGAATGGCTTTGAGCGGAACCTGCAGGTGGCGGTGTTCCTATGTATCTGCTGGCTTTGCCTGTAGTTGAAAGTGGTTGTGGGTTTCGAAGATTTTATTGAAGGAGCCTTGGTAAATTTCTGCAGTACGTTTTAGGGCAGCACGGTGGCTTAGTGGTTAGCACTGCTGCCAGGGACTGTGGCTTGATTCCACCCTTGGGCGACAGTCTGTGTGGAGTTTGCACATTGTCCCTGTGTCTGCGCGGGTTTCCACCAGTTGCTCCGGTTTCCTCCCACAGTCCACAGATGTGCAGGTTAGGTGGATTGGCCATGCTACGTTGCCCATAGTGTTCAGGAATGTGTGATTAGGTGTGTTAGCCATGGGGAATGCAGGGTTACAAGGAAAAGGTAGGGGGATGGGTCTGGGTGGGATGCTCTTCAGAGGGTCGATGTGGACTTGTTGGGTCAAATGGCCTATTTCTACACTGTAAGGATTCTATGATCTTGTAAATAGTACACACTGCTGCAACCGAGCATCGATGGTAAAGAGATTGGATATTTGTGGATGTGTTACCAATCAAGTGGGCTACTTTGTCCTGAATAGTGTTAAGTTTCTTGAGTGTTGATTGAGCTGCACTCATCCAGGCAAGTGGGGAGTATTTTGTCACACTTCTGACTTGTGCCTTGTAGATGGTGTACTGGAGGTGAATTAGTTGCAGCAGGATTCCTAGCTTCTGACCGGCTCTTACAGACACTATTTATATTGCTAGTTCAGTTTTGTTTCTAGTCAATGATGTCCCCCAGCATGTTGGTAGTGAAGGATTCGGTGATGATAGCGCCATTGAATAGCAAGGGATGATGGTTAGATTCTCTTTTGTTAGAGATGGTGATTTTCTGCCATTTGTGTAGCGCAGATGTTAATTGCCACATTTTAGCCCTAGACTGGATATTTTCCATGTCTTAACTACATTTGGATGTGGACTGCTTCAGATTTATTTCACATTTACTGTGGTAGAATTTGAACTTATGACCTCTAAGTTTTAAGTTCAATACCATAACCTTTAAACCACCATATGAGAGAAGCATTTGTTAATTTTTTTTCATGCAACTTTCATTTTAGTCATTTGACATGGCAAAAATTGAACTGATAGTTACAGTTCAAAACCAGGATGTTTTTCTTCAGATTTGTCAAATTCAAAAGTCTAACAAAGCTTGCTTTTTGATGGAAAATGCAAAAGAGGCAACTTTTTGGCTTATAAAATGTTTTTGTTGCTTAAAACTACTATGAATGAGTAAATGCTTTGCATCAACAAACAACATTAGGCAGAGGTAAAGTCTCTCTTTGAATTTGGAATGTGATTAACTCTTGTAAACTGTAGGGTCGAAGTCAAAAACAGTGTCCCTGTCATTTAAATGAATGTTATGGAGGAAACTAGGAACTGGATTTGAGACCATTGTGAAAAGAGAATGGAATCCTAGGAGCGAGAATGACTTATACAGGACTTAAACAGTTAATGGTAGGGTCCTGGGTAGTTTTGTAGAACAGAGAGACCTAAGGGTTCAGGTACACAGTTCTTTGAAAGTTGCATCTGAGGTAGACAAGGTGGTTCAGCATGCTTGCCTTCATTGCTCAGACCATTGAGTATAGGAGTTGGAACATTGTGTTGACGTTGTACAGGATGTTGGTGAGGCCACCTTTTGGAGCACTGTGTACTGTTCTGGTCGCCCTGCTGTAGGAAAGGTATTACATTGGAGAGGATTCTGAAAGCATTTACCAGAAACTTGCTGAGACTGGAGCGTTTGAGTTATAAGAACAGGCTGGGACTTTTTCTACTGGAGCATAGGAGCTTTAGGGGTGACCTTAGAGGTTTATAAAATCATGAGGGGGCATACATGAGGTGAATAGTGTAGATCTTTTCCCTAGGGTGGGGGAAGTTCAAACTAGAAGACATAATTTTAAGGTGAGAAGAGAAAGATTTAAAAGGGACCTGAGGGGCAACCTTTTCACACAGCATGGTGCATATGTAAAGAAGAACTGCTAGAGGAACTGATGGATGCAAGTTCAGTTACTGCATTTAAAAGAATTTGGATAGGTACATGAAAAGGAAAAGTTTAGAGCGCTATAGCTCAAATGCAGACAAATGGTACTAGTTTAATTTCGGAGGTTTGGTCAGCATAGATGAGTTGGACTGAAGAGTCTGTTTCCATGCTCTATGACTATGAATGTTGAGAGTTTTTGGGAAGTATTGACACTTATTTTACCAAGTCTTTTTTAGAATAAACATCTATTACTTGTGAAGTAATGAACCATTTTCATTTTTGAGGTAGACTTGTACAATGCATAGAAAAGTGAATTGGTGAGAGGTAACATTTAGAAGTATGCAGTGTATGGTGCCCTGTGAGATAACCTCACAGGAACCTTTGCACTACTATTTCGAGATATGCTAGGAATCACAGACTTTTCACTAGCCTCCCGTAAATAGCCTTATAGTTTTGACAACAAGTCAAATGTCTTTGTATTCAAACTTCCTTTAACAATTCTACAAAACAAACTGCAGCAGATTGGGTAGATCAGTGGTATTAACAAAAATCCTGTTATTAAGGATTATTAACTTGCTAACTTTTAGTATCCTAATAACTGTTCGACTATACCTGCAGCTCACCACCTCTCCCAACTCACTGCCTCACTCCCTGTCCTGAACCAGCACTGTGAGCCAAGGCTTAGGAGGGGGGTAGCAATAGGAGCTTTAAAGATCAAAATATTGAATGGATTTGTTTTGCTTTAGGTGTCAAGTTCACCAGCTTGATAATCCTGCAGAAACATATAACGAATTGATGGATCTTATTGTTAAACTTGCTAATCATGGTTTAATTCATGGTGACTTCAATGAATTTAACTTGATGTTGGATGATGAGGACCATGTCACAATGATTGACTTTCCACAGATGGTATCTACATCTCATCTAAATGCTGAATGGTAAATACAATTAATTTCTGTTCATTTTATGTGGGGTAACTTACCACAGATTTAGAATGAATGATATTCTGTTTCTTGCACAAATAAATCAATATTGATTTGCATTCTGCAACTCGTTAAGTTATAATTGTCTGTCCTACAAAGGTGCATTATCCAGGTAAGACTTTACTTCCAGCTTTTCTTTCATAAGTGCCCAACTGTTTGATTCATAACAGGTTGGTAGTTTCTGTATATGAAGTGATTATGGTCTATATCCAATAGAAGCCACGACCAAGACTAAAGCTAGAATTTGTAAGAAAAATATACGCAACATAGAAGAGAATGTCCAGAAACACCACTTTTTTTTTAAGAAAAGGGGTTTTGGGTGGGCATCCTCTTATCTCCGGAGTTCTGTTGAAAGGTTTCCATTCACAATGTTAGGTCTTTTTCAGGTAGTTGTGGATCTATTCAGTACTTGCTGCTTTTATTTTGAACGTGCAGTATTTGTAGTATTTCTTCCTTTTTTTTCTCTCTCTCTTTAGAGACCCTGCTGAGACAGTTATTTTGCATGATGGCTGAAGCAAATAATGTTATAATTTGGTAGATTAGCTCTCAATTCTTGGATAGTGAATTTTTAATGTCACTAAATAGAAGATACTCAACAGAGGCAAAATAAGCTTCAAGAAGAAAGCTGGAATCAGGGTTGAAAGAGAGGGAAAAGGAAAACCTCTGCTAATTTTACTTAACAACAATCTAAATGGCCTTCCTATCTTTATATGTGAAGTAGTGTGTTTGGGGATGGGATTTGGTGGTCATTAAAGTATAAAATCAAAAGTTAATGATGATAAGAAAATGAGGTCTTTAGTATACTTTGTAGAAGTTTAATTTGCATAAACATGAACTGGTTTTTGCAAGGTATTGGCGGCCAAAAGGATAAATCATAAGATCTTAATAAAATTCCTGTTTGTTTTATAAAGGAGAAAGAAAATTTTTAATGATAGTAGGAACTGCAGATGCTGGAGAAGCTTCTGAAGAAGGGGCTAGGCCTGAAACGTCAGCTTTCCAGCTCCTCTGATGCTGCTTGGCCTGCTGTGTTCATCCAGCTCTACACCTTGTTATCTCTTATAGCAAATTTTTAATGGCAGTTTTTTTAACGTGATGAGTTACAGGGAGGCTTTCAAAAAAGTATATTTTTTGTACAGCAGCTCTGAAAATATTAATTATAAAGTGATCTTTTTCCAGGTACTTTAATCGAGATGTAAAATGCATTCGTGATTTTTTTATCAAACGCTTTAACTACGAAAGTGAACTTTATCCAACATTCAAGGATATCAGGTGAGCAACATTTGAGTTGATACATTCCTGTGGAGTTTATTTTTGTAACTTTAGACTAATTTATTGGATGTCATTTGGTAGTATGTTCATAAAGTATCATTTTATGCCCACCAATAATGCAATTTTGTTGGCTATTGTTTGGGAGTACAGAACTTGGATATGCTGAAAGAGAGATGTTGCAAGAACAAAAAGAAGTATCTCAAATATCTGAGTAGGTTAAGCAAGGTGTTTACATTTGCTACTATGTAGTGGTGATGCAAGTGGTATTTTCCACTAACAGTTGGCTGCTGTCAGTCCAGAAGACATACCTATTACAATTAAATAACTTTTCATTTTTTATTTAAAGTATTATTAATATATAGGTCTGAGTTTATCAATGAATTCAAGCCAGAGAGAAATTAGATTCAAATAATAGTGTATTCTTGGATTTTAAAATAATTGGTTAATAGACATCAACAAAAAAAATGACAAGCCACTAAATTATACATTAATGGAATTGTTCCTGCTGTTGTCATCCATTCTTAATGCTTTTGTTGGAAACTGGTCAGTATGCCTCTATAGTCGTGTACAAGGTTATGACACATGCCAGAATATTTAAGTTTATTAATTCTTGACTGTACAGCTGAGGACTCTGTTTCCCTTTTCCTCTTTCTCTTCCCTACCAGCCCCTATCTTGCTTTGCAACTAATTTAGAACTGTTACTTGTATTTTACTCTGTGTAACCACTATTCTTTCTATACTTACTTCAGAAAGGTGGCTTCACTGGATGTGGAGATTGAGGTCAGTGGTTACACTAAAGAACTCCAAGAAGATTCTGAGCTGCTACATGCTTCAGGCCCTGAAACAGATGATGTTGAAACCGGATTTTCAGAAGATGATTTGGATGATGAAAGTAAATTCTCAAATAAAACATTTGAAAATGTTGATTTGGTTTCTGAAAATAAGACAGACACTAAAGAGATTCCTACTCCTAATTTCAACATTGTGGAAAAAACATGTACAGAAGTTGCAGAAACCAGTGAAGTTGAAAATATTGATCTGCAAAATCTGAAAATAAATGTACACGATACTGAAAAGCAATATACTGAAGTTGTTGATACTGTTGAACTCTCTAATGTCGATACAGAATATAATCTTGAACATTCCTCCGAAGCTGTGCATCATACAGGCCAGAGTGATGAGGATCTAAGAAATGAAGAGAAATGCCCAGACTTAATCGATCTATCAACTCAAAACAAGGAATTTAGACCTTTCAGGTACTAATTCAGCAGTCTTGTGTTTTGTAGCATTTTTATGGCTTTCTTGTAGAGCATTATTTATATTAGGTATGTTTTTGTCCCTTCCAAACCACTCATCACCCTGAATCACCCACTCCTTCAGTGTCTCTGGATCAAAATACTGCAACTCCCTCCCTAACAGCATTAAGAATGCTTCTACACTATATGTACTGCAGTTGTTCGAGAAGGCAGCTCACTAACCGCAGCTCACTACCACCTTCATAAGAGCATCAAGGGTTGGACAATAGCTCACATCTCCTGAATGAATATATGAAAAATTAAAAGTGGTTCTATAGTTTGTGAAACCTCCAGCATGCCAAGTCTTTTCTGTACAGATTATTATTATTCAGTATATTCTATTTTCCAAGATTTTTGAAGTTGCAGATGGTTCAGTTTGGGAAGGAAAAGTAAAGGCATACTTTGATATCAATATTATTTCTGCATCCCATTTTTTTTAAAAAGTAGAACTTTCTCCTTGCCTATGGCTTCATTTGAGCCCAGTTTTGTTGTTCTATCATCTGTACGTAGAAATCAGTGGATATTGCTAGCAATCAGACTTATTTTGTTAATATTCCCGTTATACTTACTCAAAATCAGGTATAGCATTCCTACGACTGAAGTCTGGCATTTAATTTGAAACATTGTGACTATGACTAGTCAGTTCACCAGAAGGTCATCTGGCTAGTTTTCTCCTTTTGAATGGGGTAATAATGAATAATAACTTCCTGTGCCGGTTAGTTCTCCTCTGTACAGTTTATGTACATTTTATTAATATTGCTGTTTTCACATCAACATAGTTAATATTTAGTCTTGTGTGTGAGAAATGTTTGTACGGATAAAGTATTGAGATGCTCTGGCATTCTTTACTCCTGAAAGATTGCTTCAGTATTTTGAGTTGCTGCAGCTGTAGAAAGTGCAATAATATGGTTGTAGATCAGCTCCTACACAGCAAAAATTCTGAAGACAATGTATTTGCTGTGTAGACTTTTCTAACTACAGAGCTGACAAACTTAATTACATTGCAAATATCAATCTTGCAGTTTGAAATGCAGTTTTATGGATGAGTACCACATGCAGGAATATGTTTATATTAGGAGGAACTTGAAACTTAACAAATAAAATGGTAAGGAGCCTAGACGAGATACTTGAAAGGCATATGGTAGAATGTAAGAAAATAGAACATTTTTGAACATTGATGATAACAAGATCAATAAAGCTAAGTGAAGTAATGGTACAAAACAGAGGGCTGCAAAGATGATTCATTAAGAACATTAAGACAAAAGCACAAAGCAGAACACTAAAGAATTAAAGAGAGTAAAAGAGGAGTTGGCTGAATAAAAGTGATGGAAGCAAGGATATATTTGAAAATAAAGAAGTGGATTTGGGCCAAATCCTGAGGATTAGAAAATAGCAAATGTTACTCCCCGTTCTCAAAATGAATGAGGCATGAGGCACCAAGACCTGTGAAACCTGTATTTACTCTTGATATAGTGTTTGAAGGTATTCTGGATGATAATTTAAGGGTTAGGAGCTAATCAGACACCATCAGCAAGCTTTTAATTATGAGAGATTGTGCCTAATTAATTTACTGGATTGCTTTCCAGAAAAATCATGAATGTTATCTGCCAGGATTTAAAGAAGATATTTGATGTTCCGCGTAATTGGTGACTGCATAAAGTCCAAACCAATGGGATAGATAGGAATGTACTGAGTTGGCTGGTTAGGACTAAGTAGTAGCAAATGAGCATCCATCTGTTTAGTTGCCAATTACCAATGGAGTGCCTCAAGATTGAAAGTGCTATTTTAACAACATGACTTTGAGAAAGGAGTTGGATCCAAGTATCAAATTGAAAACAGTGACAAATGATAAACATACATCTAATTACAAAAATCTTGTCTGTCTCTATCAGTAGATAGAGAAATAGTAAACCATTTAATACAGGAAAATGCAAGCTTTTTTAGAAGGCTAACATGCATTGTATGTTAAATAGGAATGTATTTTGAGGTAATAAGTAAGATGAAGGTCTTGAGGCTCGCTACAGTACAATACACAAACAATATGTTTGAATCCGTAGCAAAATAAATCAAACAGCTTGTGTTTAAGCTATTTGTACCATGTTATCCCTACCTGGTTACACTACATTTGGAGTACTGAAACTACTTTTTCACTGTTTCACAGGGTTGTTTAGTTCTTTAGGAGGTACAGAGAAGGATGCAGTTCATCCCTGAGTGATAGCTATGTCTTATCTCTCTTGAAGTGAGAGGACAAGTGCTAGAAAGATTTGCACTTTTTTAAAATGTAAGATAAACAGAATTTTAACACAGTCAAGTTATAAATGCAAAAACAGCTAAAGAAAATCAGAATGCAAGAAAAATATTTTTTACTGAAACAGTGGTGAATATCAAAACAGATAAAGGTGATGAAACAAGAAAAAATAATTGTGCCTTTTGAGGCAGGCAAAAGTTATTAGAAATGCATGAAGGGAATGCCCAGTGGATGGACTGGAAGTCTTGCTGTGACCTGTTACTGTGTTTTATATATCTGTCTGAGATTCATCAACAGGTCACAATATATTTTTCTGATATATTGATATGTCTGTTTCATAAAATGTAGTAAATTTGTTGCCAGTTTCACTGAATTGTAAAATCTTATTCCATTCTGTAGAAATGAACTGAGCTTGATGCACGTCAATGAGCACAGACAGAGGACTACCAGTTTAAGTTCTGTGGGCAGTCTGCTAAGTACTTCAACAATTCCTCCAGTAAGTTTTTTATATTTAATAATTTCTCTTC